CTAGATTTTTTTTTTCTGGTCTTTTTGAGACAGGGTTTCCCTGTAGCCCCAGCTGTCCTGGAACTCACTATGTAGACCAGGCTGGCCTTGAACTCACAGAGATCTGCCTGCCTCTGCCTCCCAAGTGCTGGGATTAAAGGTGTGTGCCACCACGCCCGGCTTAACCTAGATTTTTTTTTTTTAATTTTTAAAAAGACTGGGGGCTGGAGAGATGGCTCAGCAGTTAAGAGCACTGGCTGCTCTTACAGAGGACCCGGGTTCCATTCCCAGCACCCACATGGCCGCTAACAACCAACTGTAACTCCAGTTCCAGGGGATTCGACACCCTCTTCTGACCTCTGTGGGCACTGCATGACACAGGTGTCACTTACATGCAAGCATTACACTCATACACATAAAAAATAATTTTTTTTGTCTTTTTGAGACAGAGTCTCCCTGTAGCCCCAGCTGACCTGGAACTCACTACATAGACCAGGCTGGCCTTGAACTCACAGAGATCCGCCTGCCTCTGCCTCCCAAGTGCTGGGACTAAAGGCATGCGCTACCACGCCTGGCCTTATTTATTATTTTTATTTTATGTGTATGAGTGTGTTGCCTGCATGTAGGTAAGTGCACCCGTGTCGTGCAATGCCCAGAGGACAGAAGAGACCGTCAGATCCCCTGGGACTGGAGTTACAGACAATTGTTAGCTGCCATGTGGGTGCTGGGATTCGAACCCAGGTCTTCCGCAAGAACAACCAGTGTTAACCTCTGAGCCATCTCTCCAGTCCCAATAACTATTGTTTTTAAGGTTGGAGCTAGGAAAGAGAGAGGTCCTTGATGTCTAGAGGCCAATGCATTCATTTTGAAGTACTTTTCCTTTGCTTCCCAGAAGAGTCTCCAAACCAAACCGCCCTGGCTTCCCTGCTGTGCACCCCCTACAAGGTGCTGCTCCTGGGACCCAGCTTCTAGAAATTAGTCCATTTTAAACTGCTTCCAAGTGATCCAAGTGAACATTTGAGACCTCAGAGGAGATAATGTTACACATTTCTATGGCTCTAGATCCTAGGGTAGTTTCTTGGACCTTTCTCCTGGAACTCACTATGTAGACCAGGCTGGCCTCAAACTCACAGAGATCTGCCTGCCTCTGCCTCCCAAGTGCTGGGACAAAAGGTATGCACCACCATGCCTGGCCACACTTAATCTCTTAATCATTAATATTAATACTAATAGTAAAAGGAGCTGGGAATGGTGGTACACATTTATAATCCCAGCATTTGGAAGACTGAAAAAGAAGGAAAAGTTCAAAGCATTCCTAGGCTACAGAGGAAGATCCCATCTCAGTGTATGTGTGTCTCTGTATGTGTATGTGTCCTTTGTGCAAGTGTATGTATGTGTCTGTATGTCTGTGTGTGTCTGTGTATGTACGTATGTATGCAGGACCCAGCTAGCATGCTCACAGCACTAAGTCCATTCCCCATGCCACAAAACAAATAAGTAAATACAGGGGGATTCTGGCTAGGGGTGTAGCTCAGTGGTAAAGCCTTTGCCTAACATGTGAAGCCCTGGATTCAACCCTCAATACTGAAAAAAAAAGGGAGGGGATATGGGTCAGGAGGTTAAGGAGACTTGCCACCAAGACTGACAACCTAACTTCGATCCCTAGAAGCAAAGAAGAGACTTCTGCATGTTGCCCTCTGACCTTACATATACGTACCATGGTATACACAGGCACACCTGCATACACACAAGTGCACAAACAATAAATAAGTAAATAATTTTTAGTAAGGAACACACATCAGGAGAAGATTCTACTTCTCTTCAGCTTTATAGGACACTCACAGTGTCAAAGAACCTGTGTTAAGGGCTGGAGAGATGGCTCAGTCCTTAACAACACTGGTTGTTCTTGCAGAAGACATGGGTTCAAATCCCAGCACCCACACGGCAGCTAACAACTGTCCATAACTCCAGTCCCACAGGATCCAACAGCCTCTTCTGACCTCTGCGGGCATTGCACGACACGGGTGCACATACCTACATGCAGGCAATACATGCATATACATAAAATAAAAACAATAAAAAATTTTAAAAAGAGCCTGAGTTAAAAATTAGGTCTACACTTAGCTTATAGTCCTATCTCCGCTGGCCAGTGCTCTAAGGAAAAGCCAATTGACAGCAATCAATACCCCCAAACATTCCAACCTTGCTGGCTCCAGGATCAAAACTACAAGAAGCAGCCTATTTAAGCTCTTTGTTCGCTCCATCTAGACTTATTTTTCTGTCACCCTGAACCTGAACCTCCGCAATCTACCAAGTCCTTGCCAAAATGAGGAGGGAGATACAGGAGCCTTCAACAGATGGTAGAAAGCATCAGCCGGGCTTAGGATTCAAAGGGTGGCAAAGCAGGCTGGGTCTCCATGGTGATGGGCTTAATGGAAGAAAAACACTATTTGTTTTGCCACCCAGGGTGAAAATAGGAAAAAGGGAGAGATCAAACCCTCTACAATGGGGTGGGAACAACCAGGAACACTTGAAATAAGGAAGAGGCTAGAGAAAGGGCTGGCTAGTGAACCCCTGGTGCCTTGGTGAGAAATTTTAAGACAGAACAAATAGGAAGCTAGCCAGGAGGAGGAAGATACTCCCATACACACACACACACACACACACACACACACACACACACACACACACAAACACACATCAGTAGAGCTGAGGTTCTGCTGAAGCCTTATAGGTGAAGGGCACTTTAGCCCTTCTTCTTACCCAAAAGTACTCCTCAACCTTAAGACACTCCTTCAAGTCACTCCAAAATCCCCCATCCTCTACTTCTAAGTACCCTCTGCTCCAGCAAGTACTCACCAAGCTCCTCCTTGATGGGTTCAGACTCTGGCTCCTTCTCAGTTGTGGATAGGGCAGCCTCAGCAGATCCTGGGGTCACAGCAGCTTGAGCAGGTTGGCCTGCATGGCCTGCCCGGGAACCTCCTGGGCCACCCAGTTTTCGCTTCTTCTCAGCTTTGCTAGACATCGTGAAGGCAAAACCTGCAGGTATGTGGGTGTCAGGAGTCCACTTCCAGATCCCATCCCTAACCCCAGCCTCTGATACACAGAGTCCATGTTAGATTCAGAAACTGAGACACCCAATATAATCATCTTTCCTGTGGATACCTACACCTTGCTCCACACTAGAGGTCTATGCCTCACAGGGCCTTGGTCATTATAAACTCAAAGATAAAGCACTTGGCTAGAATATACACAGCCCTGGGTTAGGTGCCTACCACTTAAAAAGGGAGGTGCCTTGGAGTCTTTAGCACCCTGGAGTTTTTAGTACATCAAGTCAAAAATCAGAGTCTCCAACAGGCAAGATGGCTCAGTGAGTAAAAGCACTTGCCACCAAGCCTGATGATCTCACTTTGATCCCCAGGACCCAAACGGTAGAAAAAGAGAACCAACTCCTAAAGTTGTCCTCTAACTTCCATTCATGTGTCATAGCACACACACACACACACACACACACACACACACACACAATCAATCAATCAGTCAAAATTTAAAAACCAAAGTATCTCAGGGCATTAGGAATAAACAAAGGTAAAAGATAACAGTCACCCTACTAAAGAGGGGTATGGAGACTATAAGATAACCAGGAAACAAGGGGCTGGAGAGATGGCTCAGTGGTTGAGAGCACTTGGCTACTCTTGGTAGGACCTGGATTTGGTTCCCAGCACGCACATGGCACCTAACAACTGTCTGTGACTCCAGTTTCAGGGGATCCGATGCCCTCTTCTGACCTCCTCAGGCATTGCACAACACAGGTACACTATCATACATGCAGACAATGCACTCATACACATAAAAATTTTGGGGGGTCTTTTTGAGACAGGGTCTCCCTGTAGCCCCAGCTGTCCTGGAACTATGTAGACCAGGCTGGCCTTGAATTCACAGAGATCCA